TATATATATATATATGTAATTGCCAAAATAATAATCAGTTAATCAACGTTGATTCTTTCAAAATGATTAAATTACCTTGAGAACTCTATCTACGATGAAGGCTTTATTGAATTATTGCAAATTCAATTCTTTAATGTACTTTTCTGAAAATTTCCATATTCTGGTTTTCACGATTCATTTGTTAGTTAAGGAAAGGAGATGGGAAAGAAGTGGCTTTCTGCAGTTAAGAAATTCTTCAATTCTGAATCCAGGGAGAACCATACCACTGAGGTTAGAAGACAACATCTCCTGTATGAAAGATTTGCACACATACCACCCAATTCATTTATATTTATATATCCAACGCCTAAATTTTAATTTTTACAAACATGCCGATTTATTCACATGTGCATGATATGCATGAAAAGATATATTTCAACTTTTAAAAATTAAACGTACTTTACATACCTAGCACACAATTCTTTTGTATTTACATCCTCATATTTACATGCAAAAATTTTTAGTGCTTTAAAACCTCTCTACAAAGAGAAAAATTCGCAGCGTTGCGTATGTCAGAGAGGTTATTCAGAGGGTATTGGGGGGTTATATCCGCGTTATACCCCCTGTAACCTACAAATGTATGAAAACAGAAGCGAAACTTACTAGAAGGTATATGTATGTTACAGGGAGTTTACAGGGGGTATAACACGGATATAACCCCCAATACCCTTTGAATAGCCTCTTCGACGTACGCAGCGCTGCATACGTCTTATGTACGCAAAATTTTCTCCTCCACAAAACATTGTTTTCACTATTACAAAAATAGTAATAGTGCTAATTTAGACCTGATCTTTAATATTCCAGTACTATCTGTGTAAATATGAAAGTTTATGCATGCCATATGTAAATACATTAGAATTATGTGCTATGTATGTAAATACCCCAAAATTAAAATGGAAATATTTTTGATGTTACATATGAAAGAGTTGGGTGTTAGATATTTAAATACGTATGAATTGGGTGGTATGTATGTAAAATTACCAAGCAATACTCAATAAAAATGACATTTTTGGCTATTTGGTTACATAGAAATCGGAGAAGAAATTGTGCAAATCAAAGGATTCAAAGAAGAACTCATTGGATCCTGCTGAAGACTGAAGATTCAAAAAAGGAAGAAAGCCGGCGAGCCTATTCAGCGGCCGAGGTGGCGGCGACGTCGCTAAGAGCCATTCATGGAAGACGGAGGGAGGCTGCAGCCATCAAGATTCAGGCTGCTTTCAGAGGCTATCTGGTATTAAATTCATTAATTGCACTTTTGACTCCTCTTGTTTGGGAGATAGAGCTATCAAAAAAAGCTTGTTGTTCGTGAAGAGCTTATATTCGGCTCGTTAAGTAGCATGTGTTCGGCTCTTTCGTTAAGTAAAAGAGCCGAACACGAACAATTTTTTAAAGCTCGAATTATAAACGAGCCGAACACGAACAACTCTTTGTTCGCTCGTGTTCGGCTCGTTTTAGCTCAAAATAAAAAAAAAAATATAATTAATTATATAATAATATATTATATTTATTATTTATATAACAATATATTATTTATATTTATATATATACATTTATTTTTTTCAATTTAATTTTAACGAGCCAATTTCAAACCAAACATGAGTCGAACACGAACACATTGTTCACAAGCCGATTTCAAAGTAGGGAAATTTACATACCTACCATACAGTTTGTAAGTATTTACATATATAATACCATAAATTAAATATTTATATCTAAAACACTTTAACGACATAAATATATGCATGAAATGTAATGTAATTGTAAAGATTTGGGGGTCATGATTGTAAATATAGAAGAATTGTATGGTATGTATGTACATAAATTCCCCTCCTAACCATTCCATGAATCTATAATCTTCATTCTCCATTAATGGCATTATGGAAGGCGAGGAAAGGAACGGGAAGAATGGTGCGGCTGAAGTTGATGGCGAACAGAAGGGCGGCAAAGTGCCAGACAATGAACACATTGCACAGCATGCAAACCCTAGCAAGGGTTCAGGCACATATCAGAGAAAGAAAAATGAGACTGTCAGAAGAGAACCAGGCTCTACATAAGCAGAAGCAGCTCAGACGTGAGAAAGAGTTAGAGAAATTAAAGGTAGTGTTTTTTTGTGTTTTTATTTATTTATTTATTTTTTATTGCTCTCATATTATTTAAATCTTTTTTTAAAAAAAGGAAATTTACATAGGTACCACATAATTCTTATGAATTTACAGGCTTAGCAGCTAAAGGGTGATGTAGATAAGGCCTATGCATAGAAAGATGTATTTGACTTTTGAAAATTAGTAAAAATGATATTTGTTATGAATGCAAATATAAAAGTTTAGATATTAGATATGTAAATACAGAATTGTGATATGTGGGTATTTACATACATGCCACCTAATTCCTATGTATTTATATATGCATTATCTAAATTTAATTTTTTACATTTATTGAAACCATTAAGTTTTTCCCCTCAATATTTCTATCCTTATTTTTTAAAATTAAATTCCATCAGTGTTTCATTGTTGAATTTGGATTAGTCCGTGAATCACATAATACGAGTAAGAGTGATGATAGAGAATAACAAAACAAAAGGAAAAATAGCGTACAACGACTTGTTCCTCTATGATAAATTGGGATATTCTCGTATTTTTGTGACACCTTTTATAAGATCAAATTTTTATGAATATATTAGGAGAGAGAGGGGGGCCAAAAAATATCCCTAACATGAAATGAAGTTTGTGCTAATTATTTTAGATATTATACATGTGAAAACTTAGAACAAGTTGAGAAGAGTGGCTAAAATAACAATTTTTCAACGACTAAAACAAGATTACAAGGAAACATATAGATAGAAAGGAAGAGTTCGGAATTTGTTATTAAAGGAACCGTTGGATGGAGTTTGGTGTAGGCGAACGGTCTTGATTGGATTGATTGTCCTTTTCGGTTGGACTGCTGCAGGGAGGTGGAGCCAAGGCATTTACATTTTTTTGGTTGGGTTGTAATGGGGAATTGTAGCCTTATTTTTTACATCCCCCTTCAAACTGATATTGTCAGCTGACACCATTAGTTTGCTTATGAGTTGCTGAAATCTGAAATTGGGAAGAGCATTGGTTAGAACATTGGCGAGTTGCTCTTGTGATGAGACGTGATGAAAAGTGAGTTATTTCTTCTGAATGCAGACACGTATGAAGTGACAATTAACCTCAATATGTTTTGTTTGAGCGTGGAGGACTGGATTGTTGGCAGTTGCAATGGCAGAGATGTTGTTGCAATAAATATGGTCGGTTCATGTTGAGGAGTATTAAGATCAGCCATATGACGGTGAATCCATCCTATGTCCGCTGCAGCATATGTGAGTGCCTGATATTAAGCTTGGATGAAGGAACGAGCAACGGTGGCTTGCTTCTTAGCTGACCAAGATACTGCAGTTTTGTCGATGAAAGCGCAGTAACTTGATGTTGATTTATGGTCTATCGGATTTCCGGCCCAATCAGAATTGGAGTATGCCATGAGATGGAGTTTGGAGCGGTAGATGGGAATTCCAAAGGAGGTGGTGGCATTAAGGTGGCGAAGTATGCATTTAAGTTGTGTAAACTTATGTGTGGTGGGTTGCTGCATATGTTGAGCGGCAAGGTTGACGACAAAAGCTAGATCGAGACGAGTGAGAGTTAAATATTGCACCGAGCCTACAAATTGGTGGTAGAGTGTTGGATACATCCAATTGAAAGATGGGTCATTGATGGTAGATTGTGATGGTGATGAGTATTCGGACGGTGGGGAGCTTGCCAATAAGACTGAAGATTTCAGTATAGCCAATGTTGTGTTGTTGTTTGTAGCCTTGAGCTACCAAGCGGGTATATAGAGCCGTAAGGGTTGGGTTTGGTTCGATATGTCCATTCAGACCCAAGGATGTTGTGATGAGGAGAGGGTAGTACTAAGATCAAGGTGCCTTGGGATTGAAGGGATTAGAATTCAGTGGATGAGGATGTTTGACTGTGGATTAGCAAGAGGATGCTTCAGATGTCACTTGATGAGTAAGATTGAATATTTGACATGGTTTAAGATGGCCAGTTTGGAAGCGGGTATGCATGGGATGGGTTGATGTTTGGGGGAGATGTGGGATGGATTGTTCAATTGGTAGGGATGAAGGAGGGGAAGAATGAGTTATGGGAGCTGATGGTTGGAGTTGGATTGTAGGGGAGCTGATTGGTACTGGTGCAGATGTAGAAGGTGTTGTCGTGGTGATCATAGATGTGGGCGATAGAAGTAGAGGAGGGTGTGTGTGGGGAGGGTGATTTTTTGTGGTTTGTCTTGGGTGAAAGAGAAGATTTGTCCATTGAAGAGAACGTGGTGTGAGATATAGATTTTGTGGGAGATTGGATCTAAACATCAGTATTTGATGGGGGTGCGTAGACAATAAAAACACATGGAGTGGAGAGTGGAGCAAGGTTTCTATGGGTGTGTGGTTTTAGCCACAGATAACACGGGCATCTGTCGGCACAAAAAAGGAGAAAGGAAGGGATTGTTTGGGGGGTCGCCCGTAAGAAGCTGTCGGCAGCCGAAATCGAAATCCCGTCGCCCGCTTCGGAAGGACTTTTTAATTTGCGTGTATATATATATATATATATAATTTTAGAAAAATATAAAATCAAACTGACCTCATATTTTTCGCAGTTTAAATGAAAGAGTACTCTACCTCAAATCCTGAATATATCCCGAAGGGTAAACACAAGACTTGAGGATGAAACTCAATTAAATAAACTAGGAAAACATATGACGTCCGTTTGGGTCAGCGAAACCGTTTTATTTGCCGACAAGTTCCCATATTTAATATAAATGATTAAATAGGGTTTATTTTAATCTGAGTTCAGAAAAGCTTCCTATAAGGGCAAGCCCTTATAGTTAATTACATCTTAAATGACCGAAGTCACCTAATAAAACTCTCGATAAAAATCAGGGAATAATGTCTTCAAAGAGGTCAAAAGGATAGAACTTTACAACGAAATCGGACAAAGAGGTGTGAAGGGGGAAAAACTCAAATCTGAGACATTGTTAAGGAATCCAAATGAAGAGAAACTAGGGGA